TACACACCACAGTCATACTAGACCAGCCAGCATCTTAAACCTTTCTTCATGTCATTAAATTGTAACCTGTAATGTTTGAGGGCAAAGCCACAACCTTTGGCGGATATCTATTTTGTTTTATTTTTGATTCAAATTGTTTCCAGAAAATGTCAACATATTTTGAATTTAAATCTCTGTAGAAGAAAATATGCTACCAGGAATGACTGTTTGTGCAGTACACACAAATATTACTCTCATTAATATACTTTTTTTTTTTTTACTTTGCTTCTCAAGTGGTATTCCTCCTCAAACTCTTTAGTTTCTCTCCTCTGAATTGTCTCTGGCCAGACCGAGGAAATTAAGAGTGATTGAAAAACACTAAAAGGACAAGCTTATTTCCTTCTCATGTTAGACACAATATATTTATTTTGCAAATAGGGTTTCAAATTTTGTTGAAAGTGTCAGATTAAAAATACCTCAGTTTAGAGTCTTGCTGTTCCCAGTGAACATCAGCAGCCCTACAGTCTAAATTAAATCTAACCTCTGGTGCTGCTGTCCATGGTACTGGACAAACAGTTTGACCTTATTAATAAAAAAAGTAATATTTCAATATGCTACAGTACAATAGTCTCATTATTAAACTATTCCTTCTGTTTGCTAAAACTTTAATATCTTAGGAATAAATGCCGGCCTCATAAAAATCAAAAACTCTCAACATTCCAGCAAAACAACGGAAAGACATGAAAATCGGGATGCATTGTGAAGGTAGGAGTTAACTGTTCAGTGAACAGCTTTTTCCAATGTTCAAAGTGCAAAGATCAACAAGAATGCACAAGTGATGTCACTAAATACATTTCCTTCTTATCCAAATAGAGAAGAATAAAGAAGGCTGTCTATAGACACCCTTGGAGTCTGATTTATTCTAAATGGAAATTGTTAAAAGCCCATTTCCTGTCTAAATGCACACACTCGCTGTGTTTCATTGTGCTGTTATCTAAGCAACTGGTTCAGCCAGTACCCCCCACTTCCCTCCCACATACGCACACACACACACACACACACACACACACACACAGAGGTCATAAGTCAAAAGGGTTTGAATGGCAGGAAGGGAGTTGGATTGCTAATAGAGAACTTTGTTGTAATGTACTGTGTGAATTGGTTTCTGTAGCACCAAACTTTATTTTCACCCTTTTCTTTTTAATTCTCAGCCCAAAGATTCCACAGTCATATACACATATCTAGTATTGCTAAAGCTTCAGTAGAAATTCAATAAATCGTGAATAAAAACTTACAAAAATTAAGACAAAAGTTAATAACTATGAAACACTTCTCTCTATATCATATGCAGACACATAATTACTGATTTTACAAGCAAAAGCACACATAGACACACAGACCTTCTGTGCCAACATCTTATCTTCTCATCAGCAGACCTGGGTAAGCTCCACTAACTTCCTTCCCTGTTTCGCTGGGATCTGAGGTGTGTTTACTCCGACGTGTTAGTGAAAGTGTTGAGGGTGGAGGCTGGAGGTGCTACAATGTCCCACCTAAACTTCCTGGAGACTAAAACCAAAGCATAGATATAAATAAACAAGGAACTCTTTTTCATGTGAGAGAACTATTTTAACAATCAAGAAAATGGCAAATAAGCTTTCTTGATACTAATGAGAGAAAAAGCAAATATGCTATTACTCTGTTAACATCCCTACAAATTCAAGAATGACCTAATTTGTTAGGCTCTTTTTTCTTCAACTTTCTTACAGTTATCCTATTTTAGTCAGGTAATAAAGTTAATCTCGGGTCATTTGTAAAATTATGTTTAGGTTCTTTTATCCCCTTATGCAACTGTGAAACTTAAACATTTTAATATATATCAACATTTGAAGTTTACATTTTTCTTAGGTAAAGTTATGGGGAAGCCTATGTACAAACAATGATTTTATACTTTATTGAGCCAAAGTTGGCAGCAATAGCTCAAAGGAGACGTATTACTCAAACTTCACATTTTGTGTGCTGTTGTACTTCTACTTGGGTCTGCATTCCTTCTAAAAACAACCTAAGAGATTAAAAAAAAAAACATAAAGCCGTTTTTTTGTTGTTGTTGTTTTCTTGGTGTCTGGAAAATGAGCTTTTCCAAAAACTTCAAATCAGCAGGAACTGCCCCAGCAAAGCCAAGCTCTTACCTAGCAACGGTAGTGGAAGCCCCGCCTGTTACCTAGCAACCCCAGCAAAAACCCAGCCCGTTACCTAGCAACCCCAGCTAAAACCCAGCCCATTACCTAGCAACCCCAGTGAAAGCCCAGCCTGTTACCTAGCAACCCCAGCGATAAAACAGCTCATTCTGAAAGAAGCTCAAATTAGGCAGAAAATCTCATTATCTGTTGTCTAATTTTCTTTAAGCATGAAACCAGACATCTCTACTTTGGTCTCATCTGTCCTGATAGACGTCACTGGGTCTACTTTTTTCAAGTCTTCAGATGTTCGTTAGCCACCCAAAAATTCCAGCAGTTATACTATTTTTAATGCAAGAAACTATTAGAGATATGTACTTTATATAAAGCAACACTTTGGTAAATTAAAAGAAATAGTAATAAAAGAGTTTCTGTTAATTTTAAATCAATTGAATTGTCTGATTTAAGTTCTGGTTCTGGCCATTCCTCCTGTGGTTTTTAGTAGGTATGTTGACTTTGGGACCCAGGAGGAAGATGTGTCTTCTTACAATAATGTTGCTGAATAATAATAGCAGAGTAATTAAGTTGAAGGATCGCTTACAAGCTGACTACCCAATCTACTGAGCCACAGTCACATGTGCACAAAGTGAAACTATGAGAAATCAAAGTCCAAACCTCAGTCTGACGGAAATGATGTGCGTACAAACCTCAATGAACAAAGTCAATGTTTTATAGAGGAGGGAGCCAAAATCCAGCAACGTTTACAGAGAACTTTTAAAACGTAGTTTTATAAGCTGCTAAAATGGTCTTTGGCCAGATTAGCTGAAACTTGAGCTCTTTGGCCATAGTGGTATTGCTTGGGAAATATTGGAAAAAAGGGTAGAGGATAACCTACAGAACATTTCCACAATAAAACACGGTGGTGGCTTCAGTGCATCTGGAACTTGTAATCTTGTCAAGGTAGAAAGAATTATGACCACTCATGAACATATGTTGCTGCTGGTGAAGAAATGCCTTAAAGCCAAACATGTTACTGACTGACATGCACGAAGCCCTGATCTGTGAGGCGGACTGAAGATGAACATCCAGAAGTAGGATCTTAAGATTTGATGTAGAAGAATGTGATTGATTCCATGAGTATTTTTGAAAACTAAATTAGTACAGGCGGTACGATGCACAAAGGATAAACAGCATCAGAGGTGCTTATAATTTTTACACTGGTAGTTTTTTGATGGTTTTGTAATCACTGTGTTTGCATCTAAAACCTAAAAAAGCAGTGTCAAAGTTAAATACTTTTAAAATTAAATTTTCATATGAGGTGCTAACAATCTGGTCCTCAACTGACTGACTCAGGAGAATGTTCTAGTCCTGCAGAATAAACCCTATTTACCAAATACATCCCATTCACTTAAAGGGGCAGAATGATGTAAAATCAACTTTTTTGACCTGTTATTCCCTCATTGAAACATACTAGAGTTTTGCTTTGATTCTTTCATGCATATTTGAGAAATCCTTTAATCTCCTGTGGCAACCATTCGGGCACAATGCAACGCTGGTAAACACTTTGTTAAATAGTTAATAGAGGAACAATGTGTGATGACTTCCTGAAGGCAGAGTGCTTTCCAACACTGAAGGCTTTTTTTTTCAAAGAGATGGAAGCCCACTTTAAAGCCATTAAATTACAAAGTCAAGTTTCTTTTAAGTCATAGTTTATACATTTTTTTTAACTGAAAGTAAAAATTACTTGATTGTTCTGTAAAATGATACTATGTGGCTGGAATATACATAATGCTGCCTGTTTAACAAATACTGCAAAGATCTGTTACGATAACATCACAGATGTCCTAGAGCACATGTGTCATCTGCAGCTCCTCCAGAGCGCCGCTCTCCTGGGTAACATGAACCCAGAAGGCTCCATTTGTTAAATCCGCTGGATGAGTTACTTCCAGCGGTTTCTAATTCTTCGCGTTCCGCAGTGGTTGACAGCGGACTGCGCATGTTACAGTCTAATTAACTTCTGCATCGTCATTTATTTCCTCAAGATAAACTCCCGGCTCCTCAGATGGATTAACACAACGTTTCATTCTCTTTAGTTTTCTCTGGTCTGTAATGGAGACTTGAATTTAACGCGCCATTTCAACCAGAGGTTTGTAATGCGCTTCCTAACCATTCGCTCCAAAGCGTCCGGTCCATAACTCTTCAACACGCCGTCAGCTCCCGGTCAGAAAGACGCATTTAGTTCAGAGTCCATGAGATGATATTCAGAAAGGATTTTTTTTAATTAATTGATTGAGTCTATAATGTCCGCCCATGTGACTTGTTTTTATTATTTGTTTGCTCACCTTTAAACACTGATTTAAATATCGTAATTTTTAAACTGAGCAGTAATTTTACATCCATGGAATATTTAAAACTTCAATACATAAAATCAGTTATTTAACAATATGAGGTGATGTTTAATTTATTTTTAACATTGTATTTTCATACATTTATGCTAGGGGTGCCCAAGTCTAGTTTTCCAGAGCTCCCATCTGCAGCTTTAGATTCCTTCTCTAACACACCTGGACCATTGACTCATTATAAGCCTCTACAGAACTGAATGAGGGAAGTCAACCTTTTGTCTGGGGTGTGTTTTAGCAGGGATGCACTCCTGATTTGTACCGTCAATGTGGCCCGTTGAGGGGGCCAATATGCTGAAGTGGCCCTCAGTGAAATTGAGTTTGACACCCCTGTCCTAGAGAGACTCTGAAAAGGAGAACAGACACCTGTAAGAAGACACGCCCTTCAGCTGTCCTGTTAGCTGGACCTCATCCTCCCTGCCAATCAACTGCTGCATCCAAGACAAGATTTATTACAACATCCAGGATACTTTATTTTACACACATATACTTAACATACATGATACAAAAATATTGATCACAGTGTATTTTTATAAAAAATACAGAAATTGCAATAAACGAAGGATGAAAATAGCATTTAATAAATAATATAATCAATTTTTCACATCAGAATACTGAGACAGAATTTCCAAATATTTTAAAACGCATTATTTAACCAAGTTCGAGTGTTGACTCTTTTAATCCTGCAGTTCTTCCTCCCGTCTTGTCATTCATTCTCCATTTAAATGTCCTCAAAAGAAAATCAGTGCATTTTTCACCTTTCTATGTTCAATTTCCAATAATTTGCATTCCAATCCCAACGGTTTCCCCAAGTCCATCAGGATCCACTCACTTAGCTGCCACCATGGCTGATAAGAATCCTGTTGACCAGCAGGTCTACAAGTGATAGGTGATGTATTGAACTGTTTAAAGTTTGCATCTTGATGGCGAGTTATGAGCCAGATATTAGTCCAAGCGCCTCCAATGCGAGGGGACACAGCGACACACCTCCTCACTGAAGAAGAAACCTGCTTCACACTTCCGTCTCCTCACCTCACATGGAGGCCTAAGACAACTGCAATTAAAAAAGAAGAAAACAAACAAATGTAACAACAATTAGTCAGAGAATAAAGATGAGGAAAACAGGTGTGGTGTTTTGAGGTCTTTGTCCACTAGCGTTTTATGCGTCTGTTGTGAAAAGTGGCTTTAATGGAGAGAAATGATCAAATGTTCTTGTGTTGGCCTTAAAAATGTTTTCTTACTTGTCCTCAGTTTTCAGAATATACGAAAACAGAAACTTAAATTACAACATAGTAAAATCTTCCCTGTTCCAGATCTTTACGTTCAGTAATCTGAGTTATAGTAACAATTAACAAACATGGTGAAACTGTGCGATCTGTTTTGTTGTTGGTTAAAAAGATTTTTGTCTTTGGCAAAATACTTTTAACCATTTCTCCCACTCACATGTTTATTTTGGTTGTATTTACCCAGAATGCCCTGCTCTCTAGTCCGTTTTCTGCTTTTTGAGTGCTCTCCAGTTCGTTTGTGGTTCACACATGCAGTAAAACCACATCAGAGTTCACTTCAATCGAACCAAGACCTAGATTTTTAGGTAGATCAGAGATTGTTTTTTTGGTCCACATCAGAGTTTGATTGCACATTCACACCTCCCCAAATGAACTGGACTTTCTAGACTACAGTTCAATTAAAGTGGACTAAACAGAACTGGTGTGAAAACAACCTGATTTATCACTTTGAGGTATACTGCCTCGTCTCTTCAATGGATTTTTCTAAATAAACTCTATTCAGTGTCTAAATAAATAGACATTGAAGAAGAAAAACAAACCAGCAGAAACCACTGCACCACCATGACTGATAAGACTGCAATAATTATAATTTGTAACGATTCCTAAACAAGACAATTTCATTATGGCATCATTAATGTTCATCTGCAACCCCGAAATGGAGATACATCCAGCCTTTGTAACCATATCTCTAATTAGCAGACTTCTGTGACTCTAAACAAGGCTAGATGGAAACGTAAAATGGACTGATGTAATCAGAGACATAATCATCTGCACCAATGCCATCAAGCCGTGCTCTCTGATAGCGACAGTAACTACCAACTTACTTATTTCATGAGGTTAAATGTTACAGATGGAATGTAGACGTCATATAGGAAAAAACAACAACTACCAGCAGGGCAGCCTGGCAGCCGCTTCATCCTGCAGGAGCGCAGAGCGAGGGTCGTTACCAAAGTGTTATGCTGAGTGCTCTAACAGCCGAACACAGCAGGTGGTGCGGTTCCTTCAAGAGCAGCCGAGACGGCGCGCATGTGTCAGAGCAAACCGGAGAGTGCGAGTCTGCTGTGTGTGCAGGTGGAAGCAGAGCGGCACTAACGAGACTGAAGAAAAGTAAAACCTGATTTAAGTTGCATAAGCAAATGCTGTGACTCTTTAAGCTAGAGCTGATACATGTGTTTCCTTGACTAGTTTACAGTAATGGGAATTAATCCTGAAGCAAAAAGCAGCTTTGACCCATAAAGAAAGCATCTCTGCTTCTGTTGACTGTAATGCAGCAGAAGTAGGGATGCTAAAACTGATGTAAAAGAATCTAAAACAGGTAAAAATCTCCAAAGAACAGAAAACCATATGTAATTCAGTTCAATTCAATTTAATTGGGCTTTGCATGGCGCAGACCTGGACGCGGCGCGGCCATCCCCAGTTCCAATCCCATCCTTTGCACTGTCCTGTCAAGATACTGTCAAATGAAGGCCAGTATTCCCAAAAAAATCCTTACGTTATAATTTATTGAGCTTACTGTACTGTTTCATAACTAGGATCAGTTTGAATGTATGTATGATTGAACTGAAATAATTTTTTTTTTTTTTGTGAAGTGCCTTGAGATGACATTTGTTGTGAATTGGAGCTATATAAACAAACTGCAGCAGAGAGAAAAAACAAAAGGAGCCCTCTGTTAGCTTCTAAGTCAGTTCGTTTGATGATGTGAAAAATATGTCATCACTCAGTGATGTCAGAATATAAGTATGAAATCTGGCCTGTCAAGCCAACTTAAAGTAAGTCAAGATGCGAAAAGAAGATCCCCACACTTCATCTTGTTGCTGCAGCCAAGTTACGTATTTCAATACGTTGGCAGAAGACAACACTACTGAGACAGTTGGGAAATCATATTTCTAATGCATGAATGTGTAAATATCTAATAAAAAAACTATTTGGTTATGGTTACTCAAAGAAAACATTAAGCTAGTGATGAAAAGGAGTCCAAATAAATAAGCAACGCTTTTTGTGCCAGGTCCCAAACTTTGCTGTGTTCATAAATCACTCCCAAACAAGGTCACGAAGGGTCAGAACTGGACAGGATGGATGGATGTGTGTATATGTGTGCGTACTTCCTCCTTTGTGTGGAAGGGAAATTGCTAAGTGACAGCTATGGGAAGTCATTAGCGCACTGGGATCTTATATTTCACACAGAGCTCGATGCTCTGAGCGCTTTGTGCAGCCAGAACAGTGATTTCCTGTGGCTATATGTACATGCTCTGTTCATGTACACACATGTACTAATTAAAATTAGCTTTCATGTGAACATTGGGACCTGAGTGAGGTTTCACGTCCTCCTTCTCCCTCAAATTAAACAAAACTGGTGTCAAATGTTTGTGCAGCAAATATTTTCGTTTATGGCGTTATCATTTTAAAAGATATTAATAAATGTTTCAACCACCTTTCCAATCCCCACATTTAAAGAAAATCAAGTAAATTTACTGTCAACTACAGAAATCTTAGCTACACAAATATAGAAAAATTAATTTATATCAATTTTGCTTGATTTTGGTAATGTAATTTTTTATTATTTTACATGTACGCCTATATTAAAACATACATTTACATTAAGCATGTGGCATATATAAGTATAAATGTATAATAAAATTATATAAATATAATAAGTCTATAAATATATTCAATGTATGAATATAAGCCATTTATTACATTTTACAAACAATATTTTCCGACCTTCGGGGATCAATAAAATATTATATTATCTTACAACACAAAAACATTTGGGACAGAAACATAGCACAGTTGATTGGCACCATATTGTATTTGTTTTTGTAAATGTTCGGGTGCTGGTTGACCTTTGATGGCCTTTAAAATTATAGCGGCACAAACGAGCACAAATGTTTCACACCAATTGTATTTAATTTGACGAAGGTTGGGGTCAGGTGTTAATATCTGGATAAATTCATGCAATGCCTTTACTTTCCTCCTCACCTGCATGTTGCTTGGTGAAACCTTCTTCCTCTCAGAAAACACTTATTTGGTGATTCGTTACATTCACAGGAGCATTTCGTCTTGTTTAGGGGCTGGTGCCTCGGACAGGTCTTATTACACGTGCACTGACAGGTCTCTTTGTTGAAGATGTGGTTCTGGGGGCAGGAAGGAGCAGGCAGCATGTCGCAGACGCACTGGCAAGTGTTTCGGTCCAAGTGTCGCTTAGGCCCACAGTCACGAGTTGGATTTTCAAGACGGCACACACACTGGCAGCTTTCCACATCTAGCTCTTTATCTGGGCCACACAAATCTGATGAGAGTACGTCTGCAGGAATGAAAGGAGAAATGAAAACAAGAGCAGTTTTACTGATATATGCAAAACAATCAGCTCTGATTACTGTGAATAAAGGCTAAAGCAAAAACATGACTTCAATTTTTCCTGATTGATTTTATACAAAGGTAAACAAAATGTTAATAAAACACTATGAATGATGGTGTTTTAAATTTTTACAGCTTCATGTAAAAACTGCAACCACAACAGAGCATAACACATCAACACACTATGAAATTCCTGCACTCTACTTGGATCATCCGTTTCCTCTGGGAGAACACAAATGACTCTATTTCACGAACAGCAGATTATCTTTCAAAAAAAGAAAAAAAGCATGGAGAAAAGCAAGACGTTTCAGAAAAAACAGCAAACAGATCTTCAGTCTGTTCCAGACAGAATCATTATGTGTGTGCATAGTTGTGTGTCCAAGGATGAAACGAACAGATAAAACAGAAAAACACTTTCTGCTGACAAAGCGCAAGATGCTCCCACTCTCTTTGTGCTCTCACTGACTCTAACAATCTAAATCATCGCTCTGACTTCTAAGTGGCGTTCTTATTTTCCCACAGAAAAGTCTGCGCTCAGGCTGAGAACAAAGTTCTTAACTTTTGTTTTTGAACACCATTATGATACACAGCATGCTGCAGGCATGCAGATCTAGGTCTGCGGCTGTGCTGAATGCAATGCTGGAGACGAGGCAGCGAGCACACTGACTAACTGCATCTTAAGACCTGAAATAAAATTATTTATATTGGGTTGTCTACTGGCTGAAAGGAAATGTTTCTTTTTGCTAAAGCAACTCAAGTCTATTTTTCTTTTATTATGTTTCTAAATTACAAATAGCCCTAAAATATTATTAGCACACATGTAGAGAACTTTTTTTAGAATACACACTTTCAGAATATGAAAACAACTCAAGATGCGTGTTCATGGCTTTATCGTGGCCAGTCACAAGAGACTTAATATTTTCATATCAGGTTGTATATACTAAGATGTGTTATTGTGGAGGCAATTTAAAGTTAGGTGGTCTATGAGTGTTTGTTATATGGGGTAAATGGTCCTCAGCCTGAAAAAGTTTCAGAAACTCTGATCTAGAGGGGCGGAAACTGTTTGTATCATAAACAATACACACATTGCCCTTTTATGACTAAACTTAATAGTCCACAAAATGTGCTTAATGTTTACGTAAATGTAAGACCATTTAAAATACTTGGCAAAATCAAAAACAAAGGGACAGCAGCTCCAGTTCTGATTCTCACAAACTTCTAATCTGTCCAATCAGTCTGACAATCAGCCTTTTTCCAGTCAATCAGAATCTGCTTCAAAACTTGAGGAAACAAAACCCATATGTTCAATTCCAAACACTGTTAGCTTGTATTTGTACATGACAGCTATTTGTGGAATCTGGTGCACTGAGGTCTCTGCATTCCTCTGTTTTTATTTGTTGACACGAGATCCACAAAGAGTGTTATCAGAGCCAAACACAAAGTAAGGATTCTACAAACACATATTCAGCAAACACTCTGCAGCCATAAATCCTCCTCAGTGAACACAGGAACTTTCCCCTGCAGCTAAGGACAGAGGAACTTGACCTGCTGTAACTGGGTATCACTGTTTTGTGTGTTGTGCAATTTATAGCACACATGCTAACATGCAGCACCCAGCTCACACTGACAACACATTTATTTTCAACTTCTTATTTAAACTATGCTGTACTGATGTATTGTATTGTAAGCACTGGCAACATGTCTTTGGTGTACTGGATCTTTTGTCTGTTGACCACTGGCGAATGGTACCAGCACCCACACATCCCAACAAAACATAAACAGGTGTAGCAAATGGATAGATAGTCGTTGGTGATCCACAGCAGGGTCACATTTAGCAAGGGAAAAATCAGCAGACCACTTAAAATGCTTGTTGATTTTGAATATAAAGTCAAATCATCTAAATATTTATTTAACATTTCACACATTTTCTGAGTGTGCAAAACATCTGCAGATCACATTAAATCAATAAGAGCTCTGTCTGAACTATACGGCTTGTTTAGCCTTGATACTTAACCACAGCTGCAACTGTTTGTCTGATCGTATATCAGTGTTAAAACGTCTCTTTAATCCAGCAAGTGTTCAGCATCAGCTCAAACACAGCTTCATACAGTATTGTTTGTTAGTAAAAGCCGTATGAGTAAGTGCTACATATGCTGTAAAGCATGTGTAGCAAACATGCTACACATGCTACATAGTACACAGTCAACTGTACATACTGCACAGTAATTTAATTTAGTAAAGATAAATTGTAGGAATGCAAGTAATTGATTAATAAGTTAATCTCAAGGTGATTCAACCTTTCAAATAAATAAATATTAATTGATAAGGAGCCATTTTCTTAAAAACTCATATGTTCAACTTCATACCACATCAGCAATTTTTAAATCAGAAGTTGATGCTGATTGAGCGCTATTAAAGTGGAACTTAAGGAATTTGTCGAGTGTTTATATTTCAAAACGGAACCGCATAAAGCGCTTTTTGCATCGCACACTGGTCTTTGTTTCGACTGTTACTTTTCCCATTCTGGTATGGTCCCACCATCTTTATTTCTGTATCAACTGGTTTCACTTAAGGATGACCAGCAGTGCCCTCTGCTGAGTGGCAGTCAAACTGCAACACTGAAAGATCCAAGGGGGTGAATACTTTTTGTAGGCACTGTATCATCTATGAAGATAAAGGTGAGATACATCAACACACAGTTTTTAGGTCATATTGCCGCCTAGATATGATTTAGATTTGTCTGTTGTGCAGAAAAAAAGCCCAAGCAGTGCCAGATGAACTTTTCTTTGTGAAACGGTGTCATACACATACCATGGTGCTGCTGAGGTGATCGTAGATGAAGCAGTGGTGGAGGAGGGGGCTTAACAACCGAAGCCATGCTGATACACTGACACTGCTTGGTGTTCCACACCTGGCCAGGTGGACACGTCCTGTTGGCTAATGCACACCTTTAGAGGGGGAAAAAAAACCAAACAGAAATCTTATAGCAAAATTACAGTTACCAGCCATTTACATGTTTTTCCGTGTGTAGATTACTGGAAATAAAAGACGTAAAGCTCTTGTATTTACCAACAGAGTTCTTTAAGGCAACAGTGACAATCAGGTCTATAACCTCGTGATAAAGTTAAACATTTAGCATCTGTAAAAATGATCATTTTTTCTTTGTTGGTTGGCTTCTTTGGTCTCAAACCTTGTTTAAAAGCTTAAATTGACATGGCAATGTCCTGTCTCAACTCGCTTTTTCACCCGATTTCACTGCTAATTCCATCAACCGTGAATATGAGTAGCTATTAAGAAAGTACTTTTCCTTTAATTTAATTCGAAGTTTCAGACGGCTGCTAATACAATAGTTACTCTGACTAGTAGTCAAATTAAAATCCCTTTTTAGAGCTTAAAAAACTTTCCAACCTTGTGTAAAACCAGTTTTCATGTAATCTTTAAAAAATCTTAAAGTTTTAACATTTGATCAGCAGATATTGACAAGGAAAAACATGAAGAGCTTTAGTTTGATAAATATTACTTGTGTTTATGTGACAGAATATTGAGAGAAGAGTTGCTTAGTGTAAGACAATAATCTGCAGAATTGCACATAAATATCTTAGTCAGGGGAAAAATTTCCGAGTTGGCATTTTATTAGGAAGAGGGAGGCTTTAGTGGACGATCTTGGGTGATATGTCTCCAAGTTGCACAATAAAAGAAAACAACAGAATTTTATTTCCTCATGATGTGTTTGAATCTTTATCATTTCCAAGATTTAAGAGCATTGCAGAAACTGTTGTTTTCTGACAGCATAAAGATATCTAGTTTAATGGTTTTAGCTTTAAGAAACTACCACAGTTAGCCGTTTCTTCCATTAAGAAACTGTTTTATTCTGTTTTGTTTAAAAATACACATTCAGGGTTATCCCAGTTAGATTGAAAGTCTTAACTTTGTTTTTATTCCAATAATAATGCAGTTGTGTAAATAATCTTTGTCTTCAGCTTGGAAACTTTAAATGGACAGACATAAAACAGATGGTTTGACTGATCAAATCAACAAATGATGCAAGCAAATTAATATGGAGAAAGAACTGCTGTTTGCTTTGTTACGACCACATGACCTTCAGAATAAAAATCCCCCAGTTTCTTCTTGCTTATTGCTTCCTAATCAGCCCTTTTCCCTAATGTCTTGTTTACATCATGTCTGGTTTACCTTTACCGCATCTGCCAAAACGACACATGAGCCTCAAAATGTCTCTAGCAAGTAATTCCTGTCTGACAGCTGACAAGACTGTTATTCAGCTTTGGAATGCAACGAAGGTTGCAATGATTTTCCCCTTTGAAGAATTTATGCAACTAATGAACAAAACAGTAAGACAAAACTTTGAATTAAAATCATTAAATTAAAACAGGGGTGGAAATTCACATATTTCGTGTTGATGGTGCAGAGCAGATGGTGTGACATTAGTAGTGCTAATTGCTACTGTGCCATAAAATCTCATACGTAATATGTCAAAAAATGTAAATGTTTACAGTAGTGCTGTTACTCAATTAAGAAAAAATAATCTGATTAATCACACTCTTCGGCTGCAATTAAACACAAACACTATGTTCAGCTTTGTAAGCTTGAAATGTAAAAATGCACGTTTTCAAAAAAAAGTCTCAAACTAAACATCACAGTTTTCCAAGTTTTCATATTCAGAACGGTTAAAAGAAGTCATTTTGTTTCAAACATAATTTAGAAATGGTAATTATGGTTGCGCTTCAGTGGAAGAATAATTCACCGTTGTAATAAGTAGGCTACGTACTACATTGGTTTTATCCAAACATCCATCGATGAGATTTTTAAAACAAAATCTGACGCTCGTCGTTCCTCTTTTCACTCGTGTTTGTGACTTTGCATCATTGACCGCAGTACAAGCCCGTGTAACGCCCTTTGGTGTGCTAGATAACCCTCCGCAGACGAGTCCTACTTTACAGACAAAGTTAATCTGCAACCTTGCCATGTTTGAGTTTCACTTAATTTAGTCATATATACAACTTCTTGTACATGGACACAACAGGGAGTTTAACAAAGTCAAACTTCTCTCCTTTCTTTATGTTGTTTCAAGTCTAAATGAATATCTTGCTAGTCGTAACTGAAATTAAAAACATCACATTTTTATCAATAATTAAAAGATAACTTGATATTCTTCTCACCAAAATTAATGTGTTATTAATTGGTTAACTTCTACATTTTTGTTTTATGATGTTGACTAATTTTTTCATCAAATAATATCTCCAACACAGCATAAAATAATTCATGCTAAGGCTTTTGTTGCATCATTCCACTATGGCTTATTTCTGACAGTGTAACTCAACGTCTGCCAAGACTCAAGCAAACTTTCAGAAACGGCTAATGAGTTTCAGATGGGATTTTTTCCCCCCTAATTTGTCTTTGTAAACTAATTAAACCAAATTAGCACAAAAATTAAGGAATGATCTTCATGCTGAGGTATTCTTAAAGGTTGTGACATGCAGATATCACTAATGAGCAGAGAATGAAGTCGTGTCTGTGACATGATGGCAGTGATCACATCTGTCATCATCACGTCTGCACGCAACGGTTGTTCTGTATGCTTTGGTTCACCGTGCTTTTACCCCAGAAAAATAGCAACTCATCTGTTGTGCCATAATAGCTCAATCTTACGGCCTCACAGATCATTTTCTAATAATACTCTAAGAATGCAACTCTGAGCTGTTCAGGCAGAGTGACACAACCATGCAATGTTGCAAAGTAACAAAGTTAACTATGCTTGGTTGAATAAATCACATTAACCTAAACGGTTTTATGCAAAAGCGTAGAGCAGGGGTGTCCGCACGATTCACATGCTGTGACCTAAACACACATTCTCACAACTTCCTCCTGTTCTGCATGGACCTGAACTGCATCCCCACTTGTGCGTATTGTGTCGTCCTGAGGTTTTGGACGTTTTTAAAGTTTTTCTGGATCTGTGCTCTGTTGCCACACTAGAGACTGGAATTAGAAGGGTCACTTTGGTCGAAGTTTTGAAATCAGGGAAGATTTCTGCTCAAGTAGTTCAGCTATACCGGTGTGTGATCTGTAGTCATCACAGACGCACTACAAAGACTCTTGTCTGTAACTCCGGATGGGAGATGCATTGAGTCCAGGAGATGATTTGATTGATTTAGACATATTTGAGATGCATTCTGTGCCTAAAGTTGAAAATCTCTGCACCAAGTGGCCATGTGTGTTAATTGTAATCTGTCAAAATGGCAGCTGGCCTTCAGATCAACTGCCATGATGATCTGAAGCAGATGGTCAAAGATGTAAAATATTCAGTTCCTGCTTTCAAATTCCCATTGATAGACCTTCTGTCCCCTGCAAGTAAGGCATTAGCTACCAATAACTACTCCACATAACCTAAAACGTATTCAGTTAAACTACAATGAAGTCTGTTCTGACTTTCTTTAGGTACTTGGGGAAATGATGTCCTGCTTACCCCAGGTTTCCAAGTTTCTAGAGACTGGATCACAAGGTGAAAGGTTGCTCTTCCTGCATGCCACCTGAATTGCTTTATTATTATCTATTATCTCATAACCTACAATGGATTGTGAATATAAGCATCAGAAATATATAAAACGCAATGGACCAAAAATAAACGCAAACCCAATGCTGAATTTGTCCAGAAATCAGATAGCTTGTTTGGACTTAAACCAGCTGCCAAGAAAAATACTTCTCCTGAAAACACCAACACACACACATGCACGCACACGCACACACACACACACATGCACACACACACACACACGGCCAATTATAAGAACCACCACAAAGTGAAAATAGTCTGTCTGCAAAGCAGCATGTAGGGACTGTTGACTTGGCCACAGAGACAGACAGCATGCAGCGTGTTTGCAGACAGACAAACAGTTTAAACTTTTGAAAGGGTCTGGCGATAAAAAGAAACAGAAGGTGGTTTCAATTAGAGCTGCAGAGCTTCAGACATACACGGGGAGGGAAAAAGAAAAGGAGAAAAGGGAAAGTTAAACGCTGGCTGGTGGGGGAGGTTTTTCACTTCACCTAATGTAAAACATACGGCTGCTTAAGTGTCCATCCTTACATGCTGACTGATTTGTAGGTGTGAAAATGTCTACAATATGTTTTCCTGCAGCCACAGTTGGACCAACTATCCCCTGCTCTGGGTGTGTACATGTGTGTTTATGTCTAAAGTTATTTTGCAACACAAAATTTGTTAGAATTTTAACAGAAGGTTTGCTTTGCTCTGAGACTGGTTAGATTAGAGATTTTTGTTATATTCTTTAATCCTGTTCCTCGATGCCTTTACTTGAATGCATTTGTGATTTTGCTTGAAACAATATTTTTATTATTGCAGCTCGCCTACTTTCTGAACCAAATCGGTTATTTACTGTGCGCTGCAAACCGAAATGACAAAAATGGAAATATAATCCCTTCAATATTAAATAATAAATTATGTCTTTAACACATTTCTACTGTAAATATTGCTGTTTTCTTCCATGGACAAAGAAATCCTTTTTTTCTTTTTTTTTATGTTACATTTATTTATAGTCTACATAGCATAAATAAATATGTACTACATGATTTGCAGGTATACTTTTTGTACACAATCTTTACACAAAATCAGACAAATTCATGAAAACACAACAAAAAACAGAAATTTATATATATGGTATAAAAATGCGCAACATTTTTTCCAGTGTCTGACATTAAATCAGACTAAACACCTCCTTTTAAGGTAAATTGGGATTCAAAACAGATTTGTATACAAAAAGAGTTCTTAACAGGAAGATTTTTTAAAACATCGTCCACAGACTCAAAACAGGCAAACTGCTGAAAGAACAACACGCTCAGAGCCAAAAATATTAACATTTTCCATTTAACATGGAAAAAAAA